TTTCTTGTTATTTTCTGCATTCAGCCAAGATCCATCTGACATAAGCAATGACATCTCTCATTCCACATCCCATGCTGAATCTGGGTTGAACATGTTCTGAGGAAAGTTACTTAGTCATAGGGGGTTATTATTATTGTTATTTACTGAAACTTAGATAATGGAGCTCCTATCCCATTTTGATTTCCTTAAATGAATTAGGCTTATATTCCTATTTCCTAAGGCCATAGAAGCACCATACATCTCTAGCTAAGCCCAACTACAATGGAAGAAGATTAATTTTCTAACTTTTCACAACATAGATTTAGACCTATTCAATACCCATTGGGGAAATAGCTTTGCCAACCTGGATGTCAAAAAGGACTGAGAAACCACACCCCTTAAAGTAAGCCAAAAAACCCCAAAACAAAACAAAACAAAAACCCTCTTTCCATCTAAAATGATGGTGAAGTAACTTTATGCTCATGTGACCCAAACAACTGTCAGCATTGCATGATTTGCATGGAAATCTGAAGGCACCTTTAACAACTCTGGAAATGTGTTATGCTCCAACCAAAAATACTAATAGGGACTAAACAATGCCATTTTCCACTCATTTCTGTCTCTGAGGCCTGAGATAAAAACTGATTACAATATTTTTTAACATATATTTGCAAACCTTATATTATATGTGAACTCAGGTCATTTGGAGGTTCTTTTTAGAATACATAAAAAGGTGGTCCTGCCCAAATGTGATTATTAAGGGCCCCCAACTCATTGGCCAGGTTCCAATTGAGTAATTATATTCATTTTGTCCCTCTTTTCTATTTCCTGTTGGTTTCAGTTTAATATGGAAAATGATCCTTCATTTTCACCGAGGCAATTTAGGAAGTACGGCTGCATATTTTAGTTAAAGCCTACTGCTTTCCTATTCAGTAATGGTTTCAGTTGACCACTGTGGCCAGTAATATTGTCATAATGTTACCTGGTTCAGAGATGTTCTGTGAACATCACACCTAACTGGCTCTTGGCTGAGCTTCTGTGCTATAGGTAGGGTGATAGCTTTCACAATTCATCTTTATCTGCTCCCTCCCTTTGTGGGAAAGTGATGCTTAACTGATTGGGACAGGAATCATCTCACTTCCTCATATGATTATGACAGTAACAATAACTTCTGCTTATGAAATGCTTATTTTATGATGGATGCTGTGCTTGCTACTATATATGCTTATAATGTGTGTTTGCTGCAAACAAACCTATAAGGTAAATAGCACAATCACCATTTTACAAACAAGAAATTATAACTTGATCAAGATCACACAATCAAAGAAGGAGAGTCGGAATTCTAGTCTAGATTTGTCTGACTATAAAACTAAGCACTTAAACTACCCTTCCCCTTCATGCGTGGAAGTCTACACTGCTCAGAGTTCTGTGAGTCCCGGATCTATGGATCATTGATCACAGGAATTGTTTCTCTCAGTGTTTGGCACCACTTCACACAAACTGACCTCAGTGACCCAAACCTGGGAACCATCGTTTCCTGCTGGCTACAGAAAGACAGATGCCTGCAATGGCTTAGCCCACAAGAGAAACTGAATTGCTCTGAGAGAATAACTATGTTGAATTATTTTAACTGTAAAACAAAATGGTATTCCTCCTTATCCCCTTTGGTTGTTAGGGAGGCATATCCTCTCAGCCCCTCAGCATTTTTTACCTGCTCTCGACATAGACTCCTCACGATGTTGTCGTAACCAGGTCTTCAGGCAGGATTAACAAGTAACTCGCTTATTTACTTTAGTTGCCAATAAATAACTACACTCTGTTAATAATTGCACATATGCTTTATGTGGCCTTAGATAATCTTAGACAATCTTACATAGCTAGCACCCTAGATTAGATCAATATTCCTTCATGCCCGGTTTCTTATATAAAACCCTCTTATTAGCAAAAAGTAGATGGCATAAAGAAAATCTTACCTAAGGTCTTAGACAAAGTGGTATACTAATGTGTTTTCTAAGTGATACACATTAGTACTCAAGATTTTCCATTTCATTTTACCTAAAATGGATCCTAGATGGTAGCAGCAAGTCAGTTGTTACTTAAGGTTCATATAATAGATGTATTAATGTTTTCTTGCTTTAAAGTATGCCTGATATGTCACAAATGCCTGGAACTATTGTGTTTACATATTTATCTGAGCTGTTTGTACACTTCTGTGGGGGAGGATGTTCTTTTAGATTGTTAGCTCTGTGAGGGTAAGATCTGCCCTAATTGATCTTTTCATACTTCACAAAGGTAAACAGCACCCTACACATAATAAATGTTCACTAAATGTTGTTGACTTAGTGAATAAATTAGTCTTTACTAGGTTGAACAGATTTTCAGTCTTAAATTGTTCTTACCATCATTTCACTCTGCATAATTAAAGAAGTTTCACTCAGATGATTAAAAATGTGTTGTTGCCTTACTAGTGGAGACTGAGCCGTGGGGTAGAGAGAGCGTGGCTGTACCCCTATGAGGAAGCGCTGTGAGTTTCTCACTGTAGGTAGTCTACTGAGTAGATTTTGTGTGTGACTGAATTAATTTATTTTTCTTAAGAAGGTTAGATTTATGACCTCCATATGGTACTTAATATTTTTTTCTTTTACCACCTACCCTGCCAACTCATATTTTTCCTACTACAATAGTAATATTGTTATCGTGGAAAATTAAGTATATGTGGAAGTGAAAATAAAAAACAAATGGATGCTGCCCATAATCTAATCACCCATATCTGAAGGAACTTAAAAATTTCATGGGAAAAAATGTAATCTGACGATAATAGAAAGCTTCCTAGAACTTTCTGAAACCCCCTCATGTAACCACTCTCTGTATTTTTGTGTCCTTCCTCCTATTTTACTATCCATGTAATTCCATATTTTCTGTGTAATTAGAAGCCTGCATATTTATATCGTGTTATAGGGTATTTTTCTTATAAGATCTAAAGTATTCTCTTAGGGTGCCCTATAGATTGCTGCAAAACATTCTTTCATGTGGATGCATGATACTTTACTTACTTCTCTATTGTTGGACATTTGGGCCGCTTTCAGCTTCCACTGTGATAAACATGACCTTTTAAATCATAAATCTCTGATAGTTTTTAGTTATGTAAGATAGATTCCTAGAATTAAAATGACTGCGTAATTTTTAAAAAACTTTCTCAAGCATTGGATACATATTACCAAATAGCTTTCCAGAGAATATTTAGCATTTCTCCTTCTCATTAGAAGCGTATGGATGGTTGTTTCATTGAGTCATCATCAAAATTGGTTATCACCCTCTACATACTGTCAGCAGGTATTATCAGGTAGACTTACTGATTTAAAAAATATTTCTTTCATTAACTATGTTCAGAAGTACCATATATACTCAAGTATAACCTGACCCGAATAACAGCCGAGGCACCTAATTTTACCACAAAAACTTCATTAAAAATGTGCTAGGCCACTAGAGATCCCCTTGCAGAGGGGTCTCTGGGAGGAGACAAGCCAGTCAGGGTGCAATGTAGCAAAGATGAAAAATACAACTTTCCTCTAGTTCCTAAATTCTTCCTCCCCGCCCCCACTATCATGATCCGAATTCTACCTTGCATCTAGCTAGACAAGAGGATGTACACTGGT